AATCACTTGATCTCTGGTGAATGCAGTGAAGAGGGGTGTGATGTGGGTCTACTGACTGTGCAAAAACTTCCAGGGTTCCTGATTGATTTGGGTTTGTTTACACTTTTTTTTTCAAAAAAAACCCACATACTTAAGAACATGGGACAAAATCCCACAGAGTATATTGAGATACCTGACACCACTTAGAAGAAGAGTTCATGCCAAGTGATTCTTCTACCCAAACTTATGCCCCCGTCCAGATTATCTAGGGGCTTCCATTCTCACTGGGCTGAGCATGAATCTGGTCTTCCCGTGTGAAAAACATTATTGGGTACTGGCCCTAAACTTCCCTGCTTTGTGTAGTCTCTGCTAATGGTGCCAAGTACTTATACCATAACAAACGCAGTAAGAAAAGTGTCCAGATCCTATCAGGTATTTAATAAGCAGGATGGGTGGTGTGATGAAGTGAGTAAACCCTTCTCATGCAGTGCCTTTGGTGTGACCATGGACTGACTCTCTGCCCTCAGGAGTTATTCTGTGTGTGTGGCGCTCTGAAGCGAGCCAGGCTGGTGCACCCTGGAGTGGCTGAGGTAGTATTTGTGAAGAAAGAAGATGCTATCACGGCATATAAGAAATACAACAACAGGTGCTTAGATGGTAAGTTTGATGCCAGAGTTGCATGTAGGATAAATAAATCAAGAATGACTTGATCACCTGACTGGAAGGTTTAAAAGCATCTTAGATGCTAATATGCTGGCAAGAGAGAAATACCAGAAAATCATTTCAAGAGCTAGATGAGATACTAATTGCTGTGTAACTAGCTGAATATATGCACAGATTATTTAAATGCAATAAAAAGCCCACCCGCATTTTCCTAGAAAATGAAGGTTCAGAGCTGGAGGCAAGGTCCTGGTCAGTCTGAGTCTGGTCTAACTTTCAAATGAAATTTCTTGTGTTTCTAATTTGGTATTAAGAGCTGGGTAGTCCTTAGGAAGGCTTTACCTGCTTACAGAGCTGCTTGCAAAGTACAAGTAAAACTAGTATTTGCAATAGTTCCAGGGTGTACTCAGAGACCTTTTGAGCTGGATTTGCAAAACAATATCAGATTCTCCATAAACTTTCAGTAATGCAATTTTAATTTTTTTGACCATGTTAAACTGAAATTATTGTTGAACTGTTAATTTTTAGCTGGAAATAGGTGGTTTTTTCTTTCTTTAGATAAGTGACATGTTATGGAAGTCAGATGAGGAGCAGACAGCTAAGACTGGGAGATCTTGTGTCTCTGCTAAGAGCTTTATACTTCAGTGTAACTTGTTAATTAGTATGATTCTTCATTCAGTACTGAGTGTTTCAGTGGCTCTTCTCTTGCTCTGATTCTGCAACAAGAGATTTATCAGCTGTTCTTTCTCACGTTTCCCCAGCTTGTAGAACACTGTTGCTTGCACTGTTGTGTGATGTTTCAAGGATCTTGCCTTATGCCAATTCTGATAGAACGTTTTGTATTTTGGTTTTATTTAGGTCAACCAATGAAATGCAATCTTCATATGAATGGGAATGTCATCACCTCAGACCAGCCTATATTGCTGTAAGTGTCCTTCAGTGGGGAAAAGGTCCAAATGCTTTTGCAGGTTCTATTTTGAGAATTGTCCCATGAATTTTCTTTCTCTCCCCTTCTGTGGTACAATATGATGAGTGGAGTGCAACGTAGCTTGTCTACCTAGTGTTCTCAGCCCTGAGGCGCAAAAATAGTCTGAAATGAGGACGTTTTCTTGTGAGAAAAGCATATTTAGAACCTTTATCTCTGATATTGTTAAGGGGGAAATACTGGTAACAATAAATGCAGACACAGTGTTAAAAGTTATTTATCATAAGGAGAGGTTAAATACTGCCTTTTGTAGTAATTTTTTTTTTAATTCTCCAGCCGACTGAGTGATACCCCTTCAGTGAAGAAGGAAGGGGAACCACGCCGGTCAAGTGCAAGCGCCTCCTCAAATCCCCCAGCTGAAGTGGACCCTGAAACTATCTTGAAGGCACTCTTTAAATCCTCAGGGGTCTCTGCCTCTGTGCAGCCCACAGAATTCAAAATTAAACTCTGAGAGGGGGGAGCAAGCAGTGGACTGGAAAACTCATAGAAGTTGGGGGATGAGGAAAGTGCAGGAGTGCAGATGTTATTTGCATTTGCCTATCCTGAAATTTTTTGTTTTCTATGATCGCTACCTTACTGTACAATAGTGTTTTCTCTTGTGTGTGTACTTTCTGTTTTCATAGTTGGAGTTTTCTTCCATGATTTTTTTTCCCAAGAAAATAACCTCCCCCTTCTGCCAGTAATGTATTACCAAGCATATACCATGTAACTCCATCCTTTACTCCAAAGCCCCCGGTGGCCATTAAAAGTGCACATAGACTTCGAGGGAAGGAGTGGTGATCTCCTTCTCTTTTCTTCTGACTGACCTTTAACTAAAAGGTGCATCCCCTTGATTGTCCACGGGCAAGAGCACCACGTTGTTTCTGAAGTTGCTGCGCTGGGTGCACAGGCAGGTTGGGCTCCATCCAGAAAGGACTTGTATGCATTTGGTGATATAACTCTTCCTTCTGGCTGTTGGACACTTTCCTGCTCAGCAGCTGGGACACTGAGACAAAGCAGGAAAAGCTGAGCTGCCAGCAGTGTGTGCCAACAGAGGCATCAGGCAGAAAGGACATATGCACAAGTGCACCAGACATTGTGCTATGGGCAGGGGTGTTTCAACTCTGGTAGTGCTGGAGGGTTTTTCTGGCACTTTTATAAGGAATATATTTACTCTGGAGGGTCAGGCTCAGTTGCTCTCCTCTTTCTGGACTGAAAAATTAAGGACCAGTCATGCTCAGAGGTAGAAGAAATCCAGCTGTTTCACTCCCATTAGACTAAATTGCCTCCTGCTGCTGATGCATGGACATGAGTTTCTTTCTTGCCTTCTAACTCAGCCAGTCTCCTATAAAATGAATGGAAGGACCTGGGACCCTTTTCAGATCCTAATATACACAAAGTTTTGTGTCTGAGAACTTGTTTCTTCGAGAGATGCTGTTTGGGCATTGTTTGGCTGCTGTGCAGTTATGCTGCTGGCATGCCTGGATTTGGAGGATGATTCCTGCAGCGTGTGGCTTCAGGGAGAGGTTTAGGAGCAGAGGGCAGTTAGCGCTGTGTAAGGAGCACGGGAGAAGAGCGTCAAGTCCGGTGCAGGGCGGCGAGGACGTGGCGTGGGCCAGCGAGTGTGTGTGACAGGCCACTAGGTGGCACTTCCAGTACTTCTCATTGTTTGTCCTGCATTGGCGCCTTGGATGTTGAAAGTCCCAGTGGGTCCACTCGTTTGTGTTTGTTCAAATCGTATTGGAAGAGAGAAAAACTGAGAGTGACTTCCAGAATCTGGTTGGGGTTTGAACTTGATCCTACTAGGTGGGAGACTAACCTAATCCGTTTTGTTCAGCTCGGCTGAGTAGCTTCTGTAAGTTCAGACTCCGTTTCTTGGACAACCCCATGTTTCTTTTGCTTTCTTGTTCTGTAAGAACTCTTTCTTCTATCTGGCTTGTGCAGACCATTCCTCTATCTCACTGTATCCCTTTTAGCCATGGAAATAATAAGGACTTGGCAGGACTTGTTTTTCTGGAGTACTCTTTGGTTTGAAGGCCAGTGACACCATGATTGGTAGGGTGCTTCATGTGAACAGCAGATGTTTGTAGGGGAGGGGACCTAAGACAGCTATTGTTCTCCTTTTTTAGATTGCCCACCAAATACCTGTGTTTTAATAAAAAAAAAGGGGGGAGGGGAGGAGGAGGAAACATATTAGGGGCTGGAGAAGATAATGTATTACCTGTTTCTGAATAAACGTTTGTTATACAGAGTGGATTCTAAGCCTTTTTAGATGATGTGAAGCAACTAAAATTAAGTGGTAATATTCCAATATTGAGTCAATCGTGCTTTCTAGGTGAACATAGAAATTTCAAAACTGATGATGTGATGAAGAGCAAGAGGAGCTTATGGGTGAGAGAACTGTTACTCCTCCACCTTTTAATCTGGATCATAGAAATTAGCAGCTGACTCTTGCTATTAAATTGAAGCCATTTGTGTCCATGTAATTCAAATTCTCTTTTTACAGGAAAAAAAAAAAGCGGCCTTTGTTACTGACAACCTAGTAATTTAAAAACTAATTTTATAGCAAAAACGGCTCTGAAATCAGGGTACCTGTTCTAAGTGAAGTGGGATACTTTCATTACCAGCTAGACAGAAAGCTGTGTAAATGTTAAGACATGTATTGTGAGTGCATCTCTTGCCTCTTCTGAAAGAATGGGGAGACTCAAGGATCTTGTAAATTAATAGATTCATGTCCTTTGGAAAAGCCAAATAGCAAGATGCATTTTAACTTACTGTTAAATTCTGCATTATGTTTAGGTTATCTCATAGTTTTGATGGCATTGATGTACTTCCTTGGAAAAACTACTTTCTGCTCTGTTCCATAGCTCTGTTATCTATGGCAGCATATTCTTACTTTTTACAAATTGGTGAATGAAGTGGTTGTCCAAACACCACTCCATGGCTTGTCTTAGAGCAGTGTCTTGGTGTACACTGGTATTCTGGTCTTGGTCAGCTCTTTAATGCACCATTGCATGGCTTCTTAATCAAAAGTAACTGTTTATTGCCAGTCCTTTTCAGGTAGTTCACCTTGGCTCTCCAGTTTCTCATGGACATCCTGCAATTGTCATGCTAATCATGATTTCGAACCTACCACCTTCTGTCTACATTTATCCTCATGCAACATGGTTATATTTTTGTGTTTGGGTTTTGTTTTTTTTTTTTCCTTCTGGTCTGATAGAAATTACAAACTTCCATATGAAATACTAATTGTCTGCACTCTGAATTAATGTGCATTAATTTAGACATTAAATTGCCTGGCCGGGACAGGTGGTAGGTAATTTGTAACGGTGTTTCTTTTGTTTGTTTTGGGTTTCTTTTATTTCAAAAATGTGAGGACTTCTGAAATGCTGCCACAATGTGCAAGTTTGGTATATTTTCATGGCTTTTGCATGTACCTTCCAATAATGTTCATTAACTTGATATTTGGTTGGATCAACTCCCCATATCATGTCATATTTTGTCACCTCCTACATTAATCTCGCTTCAGTTTTTTTGAAATGGTCCTGTCTTCCATTACAAATTCCTCTGTAAAGGTTTTTTTGGTTGTTTTTTTTTTTTAATTAACAACAGTCTTTAAAAGCAATTGCCTTTGAATGTTTCTACATCTCTTCAAGATTTACTTGCCTCTCTCAGATTAAGGACAGTGCCTGAGTTTTACACTGTTTTTACAAAAATATAAACTCAACCCCGGGGCTGCGGTGAGTCCCCCTGCTGCCGCCATTATCAGGGCCGCGCGGCGCCCGGGGAACTACAGTTCCCGGCAGCCCCCGCGCCGCCGCGCGCAGAGAAGATGGCGGCCGCCATGG